AATTCAACTCTATATTTTTTGCCACCTCCTTTATTTCTGGAGGTTTAAGTACTTCCAGGTCGCTATCACTGTCCATTATATAATAATTTAAATATACTGATATTTTTCCGCACAACTGTCAGAAATTCCATGAATTGTCAATTTATAATTATTATGGACATTTCGATAGCAACCAACCATTCCAACAACTGCAATTTCTATCAAATTTTATTTTAATTGAACACTACAGGAGAAATAGAGAGATATATATCATTATGAACAATCGGAGAAAAAATTATATGTTCAACTCGGCAGCAAAGTAGATTGACTGCCTTAGCTGGATTCCTGGCCTCGCTACGCTCGGCTATGAATTCAGCCTCGGCAGTCAATCTACTACTTTGCTGCCTAGTTAAACAAATAACTATAGCGGCTAGGTGAAGATTTTTTCTGAAAATTCTTGATATACTTCAATGATTCAATGTATTTACCTACCATTTGCATGAAATATCGAGAATATATCCCTCCAGGGGTAACTGAAGCCACCCTCAACATGATTTTTCCAAATGTAACCCTATGGCTTGTGACCCCTCATTGGAAAGCTGGTGGAAAGAGGAATCCAACGTATAGTTTATACCTGGTTTATACGAAGTCAGTTGAAAAAGCAAAATAAAATTTAAACCGGCTGCATGTCGGCAATCCTTCGACAAGCCGCAGCTCACAGCGGCGGGTAAAATATTTTGTTCGTTACCACAAATTGAAGATGTTTTGAAATGAATTTTTAATTGTTCAAAAATTACCTATATATCCATTTTGGAACATGAGAGAATCGAATATTAGTAAGTTTCCAGACCACCCATGGGGCACCCATGGCTGGTCACTTGTTTTTAGTGGGTGTTCGCCAATAGTCCTATCATCCCACATTTGAAATATGAATATATAAAATTGAACTAAATCAAAATTCTATCGAATATAAGTGAGTTTCCAGACCATCCATGAGGCACCCATGGCTGGTTATAGTATATCCAATATCAATTGCAGAATATCCCGCACTGTGCGGCGTCGGCGTGTTTGAAATTTCCTTTGAAGTGACTGCAGGTGCGGCACAAGATTCTGGCTAAATCAAAGTTCTCAACAAAATAAAATATGAATATAACATCAAACTCAATAAAAATTCTCAACAAGATTAAATAAAAATAAAACATTGAACTTGATAAAAATTATCAGTAGGTAGTATTAGGAATTTCAAGATATGTATGTAACAATATGAATAAGATAAGTACTATGGAAATGCCAATGATTCTGAATTTCTGATTGGTAGAGTTACTCTATGTAAGATACACGTGTATTCGAGATTATACAAGTTGACTTACTCAAATGAACTTTGGTTCTGATTGGTTTAAAATCATACGAAGAAAATAATCAACGAAATAAAATATGAATAACATTGAACCTAATGAAAATTCTCAGCAAATAAATGGTATATTCTGAATTTTTTTTTTGTGAAATTAGGAAAAGGTACAGTTCCACAGTTTCAATTTACATGTCACATTCTTCTTTTACACTTTACACAATTTCACTACACATGTCACATCACGTCCTAAACTTCACACTTTGGTTATGATAATCACAATATGATTCACAACACACCACTTATAGTTTTCGTAACTGTTATACACAAATACTAGATGATTTATCACTAGTCACTATCGGACTCTTCATGACTTGAATCTTCATTTTTTATCCTAATGACCACTGAATACTGTCCCGATGGTGGGTGACTCGCTAAATTGCGGTGATCGGTTATCTCTTTTCTCAAATAATTCTGCCGTCATATCCTCTTGATAATCGGCAGAGGATTGCTTGATATTTTTGACAGGCAACAACAATGCCTTGTCAACAAATCCATTTTCATTGCCGGCGTGAAGGATTATAATTCTTTTGCCTCTCGAACTCACACCACTCACATCACAGTTTTTGCTATCATCTACCCAACCGTATTGAAGAACGTCATGAGTGTCGAACCACGTTTCATCTAGTATATAGGTCTGTTGCCTTCACGGTATTCCTTTATTTCACGTAGATATTCTTGTCGATGGTCTACGATGGGTCTTGATTCCATAATTACCATAAAACATTCCGCAACGTACTTAACGATTTGTAATTATAATCCGCATATTCACTCAACTTATTCCTGATATCTGGCAAAGTTGACACCTTATTCTCATTATGAAATCTGTATATAATTCGACGAATTACTTCTTTCCAAGCATCATCAAGCTTCTTGAGTTTTTGTCCCACTCTTTTTCGTTTAACTTCATGATCTATATACAACACTTCCGGTTCTAATAACTCTGTGTATGGTGGGTATAGCTTATTTTTGTTAATTCTTGTATTCGCTTCACAAGTTGGTTTTCTGAAGAATCATTATTCTCGTCCTTGAGACGCGAATAGATATTCAGAATTACCCTTTCCGTTTGAACGTGTGAGTGTTTTATTGGCGAACTCATCTTGCTCTTCCTCCGAATCACTATCACTCACTTCGTTGACTTCCTGAAAAGGCCTCCAGAACACAAAACCACTATGATTGAAATAATAATTTTCTGAATTTCTAGTTGAACCAATGAAGGCAACTTACCTCGTACCGCACTGCCTAGTGCAGGCTAGAAGATTCTTATCACACAGAAGACCGCTCATGCAACTCTGACCGATCAACATTCAGCATAGTTTGGAGTAACCAATGAGACGCGGTTTCTAGCATGACGGCGCTCGTCTAGTCCACGTTGACTGCACAGGCTGCATACCGGGAAAGCTCAGTAAAAAATATCTTATTCATTCCCATTCCAATGTTGAGCAATTCGATAAAATCCTCGTATCGTCCTTAAAAACGGAAGTTTTTCAACTGACTTCGCATAAACTATACTAGTCAAATTCTAGTCTTTCATACGTATGAAGGTTGCATAAAATTGAATTGGAATATATCAAACTTCGATTCTATATTTTGATTTTATGCGAACTCCAAACGTACGGAAAAGTGAAATATAATTAGTACGTTGAATATTCCTCTTTCAACCAGCTTCCCAATGAGGGGTCGCAAACCATAGAGTTGCATTTTAAAAAACATGTTGGGCTTGATTGCAGCTACCCCTGAAGGGGTTTCATTCTCTATATTGCCAACTGTAAATACATTCAAATGTTAAGGTGTCTCGCGAATTTATTCTATTTATTCTATTTATTCTCAGTAGCGAATGTAATCCAGTTGAAGTCTCCACCGTGTATACAGCCAACTCGATTTGAATTTTTTTCATAGATAGGAAGGAATATTATGGATGACAACATACTCGATTACTCGTCGCTATCTGATAACTTATCTTCTCCTGAAGACGCTGACATAGTTGACGAAACACCTGTCGAGGCGTTTAAAAAATTGGTCTGCTTAGTGGTAAAACAGTGTAGTGTATTATCGTACCGAAGGTTCCAGTTTTCGATATATCATAATATAATATTCAGGATTTTTCAAGGTGATCAATATCTAACAATTTTTCGCCCGTGACGCTCCATTTAAGAAATAGTGTTCCATTATAGATGTTTTTCATCTCCCTGCTCTCCATTGAAAATCTTCTTATCCTAAATGGCTAATGGACTTATTTCGAATGTCAAATAATACTTCAATGGACTTATTTATGCGTTACGGAGCTTTCAGGATCAAGTGTTTCCGTGACAGAAGAATTTTGATCTCAACATTCTCGAATTAATTTCTGGAAATTAACTTCTTAATTATCCTGAACGTATAAGACGACTTTCCGAATGGAAAGCACGGTTTATCTCCAAGTTTTCCTTGAATAGGATTAATTTCCTCTTTCCAGTTTCACAGTCGATCCGAATTTGGAACTTTTAATGGAATAGAAAAGAGAGTTTGATGATAAACATAATATCAATATTTTATACACTACTAGGTATTCATAGGCTATCTTCGAACTGAAAATATTTTTTCTACAAGCGTGTGTGATTCACCGTATACCCGCACGCAATTTAGTTTTGGAAGTGTCATTTATATAATACTCCCGCAAAATATGAGTGCTGGGTGACAATATGAAAATTCTAGGTTTTTTGTTGCAGTATTGAGTAAGTTTGTACAGAGTCATCCATAAAATCATCATTCAATCATCATTCAACCATCATTGTGAAAATCAGTAAATATTGAAAAATAATAATTGATTGTTATATAAATCTCCCTATAGCCTTCAATTGATCTGATGTAGGAGACAATTGTTGCCATGTCAATCGAGAGAAAAAAATGTTTGATTTATTTATATATGCATTTTGATAACTGGCGAAGAAAGAAAAAACCTACACAGGATATTTTTTCTGCAAAAAAAAATCGATTTGATCGCTGGGTACGACCTTCAAAATTCTGGTTCAAGTCTTGTCAAAAGATGTCTAATAATTTATTGTTGAAATGAGCCGTGGTAATTTGATCAGAATCGGCTGAAAAGGTTCTGAGCTATTGATGAGAAACTCACTCTCAAAAAATTAAACCCTGTATATCGAAAATGAAGCATTCCCGGACGGACCCATGTTCATATTAACTTTTTCCCATAACCTGCTGAGCGAAATCACTATAAGGTTGTTGTCACTCCAACTCTGGAACACTCTGTATGACATATCTTTCAAATTTTGGGTGTACTTATGAGTAATATCACGATGTTTTGGTATTCTGCTAAACTATTTCACGTTCACGAAGCATATAAAGTATTTATTATACAAGTACAGATATAATTATTTTATGCCAAACTGACAGACTTTGCTTCGCTTTCTATGGTTGTATCAATACTTTGTTCTGCTATTCATGGTTACATCGTTAAAAACATGTACGCTGTCAGACCAATCAGAATTGAAAGAATACTAATGCTTTCGCGATAAGCACATGGTGTCTCTGGCTTGTGATTGGTCAGATTATCTTTTGAGTGAAATAGTCGGTGTAGAATGTCTAATGTGGTGTTAGATCTTGTCTTTCGTTTCAGATACTCCCTGTTCGGATGGGGTGTGCCGCTTATTCTTCTCGGTGCCAGCATCCTGATCCAGTATCACGATAAGGCGGGAAAACTTCTAGACACAGCGTCCATGAAGGGCCAGAATTGCTGGTGAGTATTATATTATTTTCAATGTGACTATGTTCACAGAAATACTTTTGTTGGAAGATTGGAGGTCGTCACATGAAAACCCAAACATAATTGAGGAGGTGAAGTTTGTGTATGTCGATTAAAAAAAGAACGCTGGATCTATAAGATCCTATACTTGTGGGGTATGAAGAAAAAAAATTGTGCAAAGAATCAGATGAGTTATCACAGCACAACCGAAAAATTGAGGACGATGGATGTATTAAGATTAATGTGAATTGAATAATTACCCATCCACATATCATTTATCGTACCTGAAACAAACCAACTTAGAGTTTTGTGTAGAGACAAGCTAAAAAAAGACCTGTGAAGATTCCAAGTTGTCAGTCGAAAACCCATAAAGAATTGCAGACTAAAAGTCAAAAAGTGGTATTTATAGTCATGAAATAACATAGGATCAATTTGAATATCATTAGCTCAATTGAAGTTGTTCCAGGTTTCGACTAAATTGTACTTCAACTCATTTAAAAGGTTTCTTCTTTTACCAACTTATATTCTAACATAATTCGATATCATCACTTCGGCTTTCAACAATTAAGAACGATAAATAAGTTACTCCACTGATCTGATAGTGGAGTTGTGGAAAACTGATAAAAAGCGTTTTGAGATTATTATGATAAAACTCCCCTATGAAGTGCATGTTCTGCTGTTTATGAATGATTATCAATAACTCATGAATAGTTACGTCATCGAATATAACACTGGTTATTTCCCCCGCCCCTGTTAATTTTTGAACGCCTGAAATTGTTTTTAGATGTTCTTGCTTCAATGATAGTTCGAGTGAAACATTTTGATTCCGATGAAACATACACAGAACAGCGCCTGAAAGCCATTTTGGAAGATGTCTCCAAACGGAATCAATTACCTCATTTCTCACATCTTTCAATTCTCTATATGATTGATACAAGCATCTCTATTGTTCTTTGCTCTCGTGTAATTTTCAACTCTTTATTGGTGTCTATGAAATATCTATATCCATAAAAAAATGTCATACGGAGACATCTTGAAGCAAATAATAATAAACATTGTACTTTCTTTTCTCGATTCTGCTGAGACTGACATGATTGAATAACATTCCTAATAAGGTATCTGACTAACATGTCATTTGAATTTTCTCCAAGATATTTTTCTGAAGCATTCTGAAGGTTAGGTTATAAGTGAGTGGGTCTATTCAGCCCTCAACTGCGACTCATGAGGGTTTATTGTGGCTCGAATCAATGCATGCTTCACCAGGTAGATCCAGCTTTTTGATGAAGCTGATTAGTTCACTTGGTTAGTGATCTTTTGAGGTCTGAGGACAGTGAAACCCTGTCAAACAGTGAAAACCTGATGCTCTGCTGTTTCATCATCTTAAAGACAAATACGGCACGTCATTCGACAGCCCAAGTCTTGACATGTGATAATGGGCGTGTACACCTTAGTAGAACTTTTAACTCAAACCATGTTTATAATGATCCTTTTATACATAAATAATGATTGACGACATAATTCGATCAAAAAATCGAGTGGAATGTTTCATTTTTAGACATAAATAATAGTACCTTCTGAAAACGGACCCTCTTATGACGTAGAAACCTCATCTCGCCATAGTTAGAAGAAAATATCAAAAGCCCTACGGAGACTGAGGCAACTGATATACTAATTTTTTCAACTATGATCTTGCGCTAATTCACTCTGTAAGAAATCATATATCATTCATCTCTGTCTGGAATAGTCTTGTTTCAGTATTAGGGTTTTGACGTCACATCATCGTCTCGTTTTCAGAGGTCCGAAAAATCGGAGATTTCAATAATTTTTTATAAAACGTATGGAGCTCACAGCAAGAAACGGTTTGCGGTGGTGAGCTAGTTTGGGTGATTTCTATCGAATTATGAAATGAAGATTTTTTGTGATATAAGCCTATTCAGATAGAAGTGGCCTGTGAAAATGCCTAATAGGAAGCGTAGGTCATTTCTGCTATATTGCAACATTTGTTTGGTCACATTCTCCGAGCAATGTATAAATGCCTTGGAATGAGACAATCCTGCTTGATGCTGCCATAAGTCTTCTTGCAGTCTAGGTGTTCAGTATATGTTTGGTGAAACTTGTTGAGATGCCAATGGCAGGTTCTGGTCCAATGAAAATAGTTACGGTACTATTCCTTGCGAGGGAGTCTGCCGTGTCGTTAGCTCACATGCCAAATTGGGCAGGAATCCAGACCAATAAGAATGTATTGAGGATTTCAATCGCGGTGAGTCGTTTTTGGCAGTTCAATACCAGTCTAGATGTTGATCGGTTTGAGCTGAGTTCTTTCAGAGCCGCTTGTCTATCCGAGAATATTTTAATCGTCTTATGTGTGAGGTTGGTGTCCTCCAATCACTTCATACCCACATCGATGATGTTAATTACCGCCTGAAATACGGTTGCATAGGACCCAAGACAGGTTGATATCTTTATCCTATATCAGAGCCTGTGGGCGTGTTTGAACCATCTGTGAACCAACAGTTATCTGCTCTTGGTAGTTCCTTCTCTCGGAGGAACCAATCATCTCTATCTGGGATTAGGACGATGTGAGGCAGCATAGGTAACTGTTTGAGGCATTATGTTGAAGATCACTCCCAGAATGCTGTAGTAGTAGTCTGCTACGCTCCGTGTCCTGATTTGTGTCGTTTGGATTAGCGCAATTCTCTATATTGTCCATCTAGCCTCTTCCTCCAGAAAAAAAAATGTGGAGAGGAGGTAGGTCTTGAAACATTTTTATATAGCTGCTGACGGTGTGGAGATGGGTACATATATTTCGTCAGATCGTATTGTATCAAAACCGTATTTCATCAAATCGAATTCTATCATAATGGCATTCTGTAGAAACTGTACTTCATAGAACCAATAATTCATCAAAATATAAAGGATCATAATGTATCTCATCATACAGTTAAACAAAGAAATGTACTTCATAGAGAAGTAAAACATCATACCTTATTTTTTAGAATTGGTAATCCATCATAACCGTATTCCATCGAAACAGTAAATCATCAAAATCGTATTATATCGAGACAATATCGTATAGAACCTGTTGAGCATCGAAACGGCAATTCTTCAGATCCGTATTTCATCAAAACATCAATCTATCAGAGTGAACACTTATCGAATTCGTAATTAAGCGAAACCGTAATTTGTAGAAACCGTAATTCGCCAGAACCGTATTTCATCAAATCAATAATCCATCATAACCGTATTTCGTAGAATCGGTAATTCATCAGATTCGTATTTCATAGAAACAGTAATTCATCAAACCCGTATTTTATCAAAACGTCAATTCATCATATCCGTATTTCATAGAATCAGTAATTTGTCAGCCCCGTATTCTATAGAAACGGTAATTCATCAGATCCGTATTTCATAGAATCAGTAATTCATCGAACCCGTATTTTATAGAAACGATAATTCATCAAACCCGTATTACATAGAATCTGTTATTTGTCAAACCCGTATTTCATAGAAACGGTAATTCATCAAATCCGTATTCCATAGAATCAGTAAATTATCAAACCCGTATTTCATCAACATTAATTCTCCATATTGAATAACTGGTAATTCAGCAGATCTGTATTTCATAGAAACCGTAACTCGTCGACACCGTATTTTATCGGACGGTAAATCATCGGATCAGGTTGAAATCGAAATGTTACAGGAAACTGCATTGCAGTGACTCGCCAAAGTAAATTTAGATAGTTGAGTAGGACACGCACAGATGTCGCAGCTCGATAGTGAAGTATAGTAAAATACTGTCGAGAATTATTGATTTTACAGGAACAGCAAGAGATTCATTCGTTCATAACTTTAATTCAAATACTCGATGGTAGGGTAGGTACCTAAACGAACAATCAAATCTTGCCGATATTTCGTGAAGTTGATGTACACAGCAATTTCCAAACATTCGAGAATAATTGAATGTTGCAATTATTTTATGTTATAGAACTGACATGGGTATTTCGACATCGTTTTCGAAATAGGTATATTAATTCATTATCATTCATTATTATGATTGAACGAACCACTACTTTTCACTGTAGTGATTTATGATCGATAGGTACATCCATAAATACTTGGGAAGGAATCAGGCCAGGCCTGAATAGGTACCTATACCTAGGTGTTATATTTTGAACATTTTATTTTTACCAGGTGCACATCAATGGGAGCTAGAAGGGGTGATTACCCCCCTCAGAAAGCAGGAAGGGTAAATCCAAGATCGCGGATCCCATATGGCGGACGAATTTTGTAATTATGATTCAAATCTATTCAAAATTTTTATCTGCGGGTTCTCGGGATCAGAAATTCTTATTCTTTCATCGAAATTTGAAAATTCAAGAAGGCGGATCCAATATGGCAAACGAGTTTTCTAATTATTATGATCCGCTTCTATTCAAAATTGGTATCTGGATTTAAAGGGTTTTTGAGGTAGGAGATTATGATTCTTTCGTCGAAATTGGTGAACTCAAGATGGCGGATCCAATATGGCGAACGAGTTTTCTAATTATTATGATCCGCTTCTATTCAAAATTGGTATCTGGATTGAAAGGGTTTTTGAGGTCGGAGATTATGATTCTTCCGTCTAAATTGGTAAATTCAAGATGGCGGATCCAATATGGCGGATGATTTATTTCATTCGGACTCGACTCTATTGAAAATTTGTGTATGGGATTTTTCGGGATCGGAGATTATGATTCTTTCGTCAAATTTGAGAATTTAAGATGACGGATCCAATATGGCAGACAAGTTTTTTGATAACGATCCGATTCTACTGAAAATTCGTATTCGGGGGCTTTCGAGGTTTAAGAATGTGATTCTGTTTTGTTAAAATTGGAAAATTAGTGATGGCGGATTCAATATATAGTGGAGCAGTTTTGGAATTATATATATAATTCGATTCTATTCAAAATTAGTATCTATTTTTTTTGGGCCGGAGATTATGATGCTTTTATCAA